GAAGCTGGCAGTGAGCTGGGAATTTCCACATCCAACTTATCTGCTAATAACAGTTCCAAACTTTTGGAACTGTTATTAGCAGATAAGTTGGATGTGGAAATTCCCAGCTCACTGCCAGCTTCTGCCCATAGAGCTGTGACCACCCATTATGAATGGATCATCCTACAAGCTCCTCATCTGAAATTAAGCATTAACCCCACATATGCTTTCTGCAAAATGTTACACAACATATATGATGCAAATATTGGACGCGACAGCAAATTTATGAAGCGTTTCACTCTTGCCATCTATTTGCAAGGCCTCATCACTGCCCCTGCATCACAGAAACCTTCATTTGGCGGTAGCATCAATGAGTCTAACGAAATTAGCTTCAGACGAAACATGAAGTGCATTATTGGTTGCAAAGTATACAAGATAAACGCTTTAGTATATCTCAGTTTTGAAGAATTCACACTTGTGTTTGACTATAAACACCTCAGCCAAATTTCAGAAGTTATGATGTTTTGGGCCAATTTCTATATGCACCCTCAAATCTTCCGAAAGAGTGGCAATATGGGTAAACAATTTGGTGCACTAGCCCAGACTTGCAGAGATGTTGAATCATGGGTTGCCAAACGAGTTATGGATGAAGAATTGCCCGAGATATCAAACAGTCTATGTCACGACTATTCAATGACATACATGGTAAGGCAGAAAGACTAAACGTCAACTGGGAAGCTAGATCTCGTGGAGTTGAGATAAATGAAAGAGATGACTTCTATTCATTTATTATTAAGAAGAAGATCCCAGACAGGGTCAAGGTTGATTTTGCTCATGTTTACCATGGTCTGCCTGCATCTGATGCAAACATGTTTACAGTCATGCGTGCCATGATGGTGAAAGCCAGCCAGGAGAACCCTGTTGAAGACAAAAATCTCAATTACATGATAAAGTATGCTAGATCATTCGATTTGGTTCGTGCAGCTGCTAAACACAAGGACCGACTTCTTGGATTCGTTTATGATGCTGAAACTGGAGAACAGGTCAATCACAAAAACTTCCCAAGATGGCTAACCACAAGCTTTGCAGGCATCCCAACAAAGCCCCCGGACAATGAACTAGGCAAAATTACAATCAAGAACTTCTTCCCACAGCTCTATAATATTAACAACTGGTATCTAGATGCTCGCGATGTAACTTATGTCAATGATATGGCCGGAGCATGCGCATCTGTAAGACACGAGGAAAATGAGTTAATGTATGCATTACAGAATGGCAGGATTATGTCCCATGTTATCCAACCTGCTCAAGTCATCAAGGCGTGTAATGAAGGCAAGAGTGCAACCACCTGGGTACCACAGGCCACCCTTGCAGCAAAGAAGGAAAACACTAAATTTGGTGAAAAAGTAAGAGAGACACTCTCAGGAAGCTGCAGCATCAGGGGGAGCGGCATCATGCATGACTTCAATTGTATCTTTATCTCTCGTGTCCTGCCTGGAATTGCATTACGCGCCAATGCCACCAGCATGGGAGAGCAGTTTAGATCACATTGTGCAGCAACCGCTGGGCGAGGCAACTGCCTAATGATCAGTACGGACGTTAGCGGATGGTCTCCAAGAGGCAATAGGAATGCCATGCTTACCCACCATAAGTACCTTCAAAGCATGTGTCTCCCCAGTGTACATCCGACCAATGTGGGACAACCTTATCATACGAAGCCTGAAGCACGATGCAGACATCAGTTTCAAATCATCTAAAGGCATGTTTCAAGAATGGACTGGCACATCTGATACAATACTACATACACACATCATCAGTAGTGCCATCAGCAAATTGAAAGACCGAAGAATTTTGGCCAAGAGTGAGTTTGCAGTTATATCAACCCTGATTGATGATGCAGTCATTACAGCAAACCTATCCGAAGAACGTAATAATATTGAATCACAATTTGTTGCAGACAGGTTATACGAGGAAGTTAAGAAATCATACATGGACATTGGTATGGAACTCGATGAAACGAAGACAATTGTTTCTACTTGTAAAGCTGTTTTCCTCAACCAGATGTTTCTTAATGGCTCAGAGTTGGTTGCTCCAATGAAAACTTTTTGCATAATTGGCTAGGCTGGCGAACGTGAACTGAGAGGCTTATTTGAACAAATTTCAGAGATCATGTCTCAAGCTGCCGCATCAGTCACTAAGGGTATGGATCCATTGGCTGCTTATTTCCATGCTGTGTTCCTTTGCTTTACGATCATGGTTTATTATGGCGATTGGAAAAACACTAAGACATATGAGAGTATTTAAAAAATGGTTGTTCCTGCATCTATGGGTGGGTATGCCATGCCTAGCTTGATGGAATTTTTAACACCGGTGGTCACTGACAGATATGTCCATCTGGCAGAAATCTTTCTTGCTGCAAGTCAACAAGCTGTACCAATTGCTTTTCGCCCTGATGCTGCAGCATGCTATAACACATCTGGCAGATCCGAGTTCATCATCACGAGTGCCATGAAGGTTATGCAAAACCCACGTGCCCCGTGCATCGACTGCCCAAGCCTCGCATGGGATATTCTAGTCAGAGACCTCAAAAACCACATGAGTGAGGTGAAGCCTGCACCTGTATTTGCTGCATTGAATGACTCCCAATTTGGCGAGCAGTGTGACAGAGCTTGTGACATGTTCCTAAAGTCTGTCAAAATGGATGCCTCAGTATTGGAGTATGCTGCAGAGGCTCACCCAGCTACTGTGTTTGATGCAATCATTGCAAGATTTCATAGAAATGCCACTGTTGCTAGACTCTTGCTGTTCCACAAGAGACAAGTTCTATATAGAAATTTCAGAACAACATATATATATATATATATATATATATATATATATATATATGTTGGTTTCTCCGTGCACCTGGTGGTTCCAAACTTATGTCGCTTCAAGAACAGTTCTCGGATCTCTCGTTTCTTTTCAAAATCCCTTGTATCGTGTCTGTAACTTATCGTACACTTTTACCACTCTTCTTTTTCCAATTAGACCAATGAATGTATATCCCGTGTTTCATAGACTGTGCATTCTCTTTGTTGTCTGCTCTGGTTTGATTACTTGCGAAGCACTTGGCATACTGTTACTTGCGGCGCACATGCTCTTCAAAGTGAGTTGTGTCCACATTTCCCGTATGTCGCGTCAACTTATGTTTGAAATTTTCGCCCATTTTTGACTTGTATCCTATTTTTTATTGCACATTTTATTAGATGAATAGCAGACGAGGTGTACCCGATAGTCCTTGAGACCTGTTGTTCAGTAACGTAGACCGGTAACCTAAGCCCCGGGATTTGGAGTGGCGAACGACATAAGGCCCCGTTTGGTTAGGTTTGGTATTGAACCTGACAACAGCAAAGCTGACTACATTGATGTGGTGTGATGGCTGGCGTGCCTCCATGACCCTGCGAGCTACACAGGATGGCTTTTTACAGTCGTAGATCCAATTCTGCCTGAAAGGTCAACGGGTAGAGGCCAGATGGAACTTAGTCTCACAAGTCAGCTGCTTGGGCACCCTCTGGCTTCTTTCTTCTATCCACACACGCCCCTGGAGAGGTCACTGTAGTAAATAAACATGGTGAGGGGCAGTTTACCGGTCAAAAAACCCCTGTTTGATGGACGTAGGAGCGAGGTACCTGGCGCCTTCTCTCGACGGTGGGAGAAGTCTTCGCATTTCATTGGACAGCTACCGCCCGCCCAAGTTGGGCAGCCCCCAGACAATAAAGTGCTGTCCCGTCCACGTTCCGCTTGTCTCATTGGGTGCATGAGGCTGAAGGCTGATCCCGAAAAGCGGACCGAAAATGAACGCAGCAACGAACAACACAATCAATCGAAATTCAAAGGCCTTGCGTGACAGGTCTCTAGAA